CCATGGGCCACAACTACTGAGCCTGTGTGCCACAACCACTGAAGCCCACATGCCTAGAGCCCGTGCTCCACAACAAGAGAAGCCACCGCAATGAGGAGCCCACACACCACAACGAAGAGTAGCCCCCGCTCGCCACAACTAGAGAAAGCCTGTGTGCAGCAACAAAGACCCAGCATGGCCAAAAATAAATAAATTTAAAAAAAGAAAAAGAAAACTGCTCATAATAGTACAGACGGTATGCTGATATGGCTAAAAATGTGATGTTAGCATGAGAATAACAGATTCCAGAAACACTGTATATGTCTAGGCTGCATTGAAAAATTTCATGGAATTCCGGGTTCATAGAATGTTGATCCAAGGTGGATGGCGCATGAGGGATCACCTCAGCCATTGCCACCCCTGCCTCTCACCACTCCCTTTCCAAAAAGGACGTCCGAAGTCACCCTGTGGGTTTCCAGACCTCTGCCCCCCAGTGCAGCGTTCTCTACCATGAAGACTCTGCCTGATTAATCCCATGATTAATGGACAGAGTCCAGTTGAATGGTCCAGTAGGACATGGGCTCAGACTTGTCTAGTGCTTGTTCTAGTATGTGCTCTCCACGTATCTGTTGAGTGAATTGATGGAGATGGCAGGGGTCTGATTTGGAGCTTAGAGGTGTCTTCTTTCCCAAGACCTGCCCAGCTACTTAGGCATTAAGGCCAGTATAGGATTTTCCTCTTCAGACTAGTTCCATATGGCAGTTTCCCAGTTAAAAGCTGTAATCTCTATCAAATGCCACTGAAACAAGAGCTGTATCACTTACAGCTGGTGCGACCCAGGGAGGGGGGCACAGGTTGAGCAAATTGAGGTCTGGCTTGATGCCTTACCCATTTCTGCAGAGTCATCATGAGCCAGAAGTGGGCATGCAGGCTGCAGACACTTCAAGGTTTGGGCATAGCTGCACGTGTTTGCGCAACTGTGGGTGTCACAAGAGGGCATGTGATGGAACAGTGGGGCTGGGAGAATAATTCATCCTTACCTTTTATATTTTGCTAAGACAGCATCCTGCAGTCTTCAGAGTCTAAGAGCCAGGTCTGCCTCAAGTTGCAAAGGCCAGCTGGCCAGGGCAAAAGGCAGGATGGTTTTCCCTTAACAGCTGTGTGTGTGTGTGTGTGTGTGTGTGTGTGTGTGTGTGTGTGTGTGTGTGTGTGTGTGTGTGTGTGTGTGTGTGTGTGTGTGTGTGTGTGTGTGCACGCACATGTGTGTGAATGTATGAGTGCAAAGTGATTAGAAACAGCTTTGTTTTCTGCTTAGGAAGACAGCCTGGGTTGTTCAGTGTGGAGAGAGATGGGGGTGTTCTTTATTAGGGTTTTCTTTAGGAGCCATGTTTCTTTCCTGGTAAAAGGAAGGAGCCTGGCCCAGGTCAGTCTTTGTAGAAGCACTCAATTCTGGGGCCTGACTCTACTGCTGTCCCCAACTCGACCCTCAGCGGCCTGCCACAGTGGCTAGAATGGGTGCAAGTGAGCATCACCCTTAGAACTTGGGTCTCCAAAAGCTTCATTTCAGCTACAACCTATGATGCTGGCCCAGAACCCATGAGCTTTTCTAAGACTGTCATGTGCTTTCCGGTTGCCCAATTCTTCCTAAGGTTAATATTGGTCTGGCCTGGACAAGGTCAGTTTTGACAAATGACAGTTGGGAAACAGTGCAAGCGTGGAGAAGGCACAGCTGCCCCTTCAGTCTGCTGCCCTAGAGACAACCCCTTCACATCTGCTCCCTCTCCATGGACAAGAACACATTTCACATCTCACGACTCCGGTTAACACAATGTTTAGAGTAAGGTCTATAACACTGTGCAGCTTTTGTTCAATTCTCAGCTCTTCCTCGTACTTGCTGTGTGACTGTGGGCCATTTCCTTGTCCTCACTGAGCCCTGGGAGATCATAGTATCAATTCACAGGTTTATTTTGAGAACTAAGTGAGATCCTACATACAAAGCCCTCAGCACGGTCATTCCCACACTGTGAGTGTTCCGTAAATATTTGTTAAATGAATGTCTGAGTGAATAAAAGTGGAAAATACTAATAAAAACACTCGCAATATTATAGCCAGGAAATGGCTGTTGCAACACAAATTAGAGGTATAACCTTCCAAAATTTTTCCTCCCCAAAGAAAGGTATTTTTTATATTATAATGGGATATTATACATGACTAGAATTTTTATTTTTTTATTTATTTTTATTTTTTATTTTTTATTTTTTTGCGGTATGCGGGCCCCTCACTGCTGCGGCCTCTCCCATTGCGGAGCACAGGCACCAGACGCGCAGGCTCAGCGGCCATGGCTCACGGGCCCAGCCGTTCCGCGGCATGTGGGATCTTCCCGGACTGGGGCACGAAACTGTGTCCCCTGCATTGGCAGGCGAACTCTCAACCACTGCGCCACCAGGGAAGCCCTATTTTTATTTATTTAAAAAATTTTTTTTTATAAATTTATTTATTTTTGGCTGCGTTGGGTCTTTGTTGCTGCATGTGGGCTTTCTCTAGTTGAGGTGAGCAGGGGCCACTCTTCGTTGTGGTGCATGGGCTTCTCATTGCGGTGGCTTCTCTTTTTGCGGAGCACGGGCTCTAGGCTCGCAGGCTTCAGTAGTTGTGGCATGCAGCCTCAGTAGTTGTGGCACACGGGCCCAGTTGCTCTGCGGCATGTGGGATCTTCCCAGACCAGGGCTCGAACCCCTGTCCCCTGCATTGGCAGGCAGACTCCCAACCACTGCGCCACCAGGGAAGCCCTAGATTTTTTAAAAATATTTATTTATTGAAAGATTATCCACACACCATAAAATCACCTTTCTGAGGCGTACACTTCAGTGGTTTTCAGTATATTCACAGAGTTGTGCAACCATCACCACTATGTAATCCCAGAACATTTTCATCACCTCAAAGAGAAGCCTCTACGCGTTAGCAGCCGCACATCCTTCCCCCACCACAGGCCTGCAGCAGCCACGAAACTACTTTCTGCCTCTATGGATTTGCTTAATCTGGACATTTCATACAAATAGAATCATACAATATATGTCCTTTCATGTCTGGCCTCTTTCATTAGCGTAATGTTTTCGAGGTTCATCCATGTCTAGCATGTATCAGTACCTCATTTCTTTTTATGGCTGAATAATATTCCATTGTGTAGATAGATATTATTTTATTTGTCCATTCATCAGTTCCTGGATATTTGGGTTCTCTCCACTTCGGGCCATTGTGACTAATGCAGCTATTTGTGTACAAGTTTTTGTATAGATATGTTTTCAGCTGTTGTGGGTATATACCTAGGAGTGGAATTGCTGGGAAATCTGGTAACTTTGTGTTTGATTTTTTTTAATTTTTAAATCTTTTTGGCCTCATCACGTGGCATGCAGGATCCTCAGGGATCGAACCCGCGCCCCCCTGCAGCGGAAGCATGGAGTCTTAATCTCTGGACCGCCAGGGAAGACCCTGTGTTTGATTTTTGAGGAATTGCCAAACTGTTTCCTAAAGCAGTCATAATTATATTATAATCTGGTTTTTTTTCCCCTTCACAATAGATCGTGACTGCCTTTCCTTGTCAATAAATAGAGGTGTGTATGACTTCCCTGGTGGCTCAGTGGTTAAGAATCCGCCTGCCAGTGCAGGGGACCCAGATTCGAGCCTTGGTCAGAGAAGATCCCACATGCCACAGAGCAACCAAGCACATGCGCTACAACTACTGAAAGCCCCCGCACCTAGAGCCCATGCTCTGCAACAAGAGAAGCCACCCCAGTGAGAAGCTCGTGCACCGCAACAAAGAGCAGCCCCCGCTCGCCTCAGCTAGAAGAAGCCCACGCGCAGCAACAAAGACCCAACGCGGCCAAAAATAACTAAATAAATAGAGAGAGGTGTGCATCAGTAGTTTGAGTGAAAGCATAGCATTTCCTTAGCCAGCTGTACCAGAATGTATTTAGAGAATGTCCTATTGTTCAGCATTTAATAATTCTATAAAACAGGCTTTGAGCATTTTCCTTGTGTCCCTAGTGAGTAAGTGGCACTTTCACACGTGTACTCAGAGCACTTTGTATCCCTCTACTTTGGTGCTTTCAGACTGCACTGCAATCTACTTATCACCTCTCCCTGCATCTGTCTTATTTATTACATAGTGAGTTCTTCCAGGAGATGGAACATGTCTTGAATTTATCTTTGTATCCATTGCACTTAGCATAGTGCCAGGTATTTGGTAAATGTTTGGAGAATGAACGAATAAGTGAAATAATGGATAAATGGAAGGAAAGATGGAGGGATGGATGAATGAATAATTAGAGCCAAAGACTATAGAGAGATGGAGTCCCTTTATTGTAAGAACATTCTGTCCAAAGATCCCTGCCTGGAGAGGTAATGAGTATCCTGACCCTGCAGGTGTGCAACAGGAGGCTGAGTCACTTAGCAGCAATATTGTGAAGTTAATTTAGGCATCAGAAGGGAGACTGAATGAGATTTAAGATGTTTCCAAAATAAGAGCATGGAACTCTATGAAACAGAAGCCCAGGGAAATGAAAAGATTTGCCCTTAATCCCCCAGCTGGGCAGCTGTGGAGTTGCTCTGAAAGTTTTCAAGCTGTTCTGAGGACCCCAGACCACAGCCTCCCCTTGTCCAAAGGCTTCCGTGTGCTGGTGTCTGCCTTGGTAGCCCACAGCACACTAAGGTTGGAGTCCAGGAAGGGAAAAACACTTATGAAACAAATCGTTGAACCTGTAGGTGGCTACCTGTAATTGGAGAGTAAAGTCCGGGCTCTTGATTTAAAAGAAGGTAAAATTCTGGGTGGGCGTGGCTTACAACCCTAAACAGCAGCCCACAGGGAAGGGTGGGAGAGCTTTTCTGTTATTTCCAGATTAGGCTACGGAGCAACTGGGGCAGGAGCCTGTGCAGAGAGCTGGGGGCGGGGACTGGGGGCGGGGACTGGAACAGACCCTCTGAGCAGGGCCGAGACCTGCGGGCACAGGAGCTGCTGTCCTTCCACGATGTGGCTCTTCGCTCTGGTCTTGTCCTCCCTCAACACTTTCACGGCTTGGGGTGAGTCCTCCTAAATTCAAATAGCGGGGGACCTTTGGAAATCCTTGTGTGGGACAAGGGGAAGGAGTGACAGGGGCGGTTCTGCAGCAGCGCGCGCTCTGTGGACTTGGACCGTCTAGCCCAGCTGGTCCTCCGCAGCAGGAGACACAGTGGATGATAAACACCCTAGACTCGGCTGCACGCCACCACACCAGAGGAGGACAACCAGCTAACCTCAACCTCCAGTTGAGGACGTTGGAGAGTTCCATATCTTTTCCTCTTGATTACTAATACAGACGTGGCCAAATCCTGGAGCTTAGCTTACCAGAATATTAATACCGCCTCTGGAGGCAGAGTGTGTGGGTTTGCATCCCAGCTCAGCACTTACTAGCACTGTGAGCTTAGGCAAAGGACTTCCTTTTTCTGTGCCTCAGTTTCCCCCTCTATGAAATGGGGGTGAAAGCTGTATCTACATCATTAGGCTGTTGTGAGGTTGAAATGGGCTGTTGTTTCTGAGAGACTGCCTGGAATGGAGAGAGTGCAAAAAAGGGATAAAGAAGTTGTTTTAAAAGACAGTGTATTGAAAAAAAAAAAAAAGACAGTGTATTGGGACTTCCCTGGCGGTCCAGTGGTTAAAGACTCTGCACTTCCACTGCAGGGGGCACAGGTTTGATCCCTGGTCGGGGAACTAAGATCCCGCATGCCTCGCAGGGCAGCCAGAAAAAAAAAGACAGTGTATTAATAGACAATTGGGGGTATTCTAAGGCCCACAGATCAGGGGCCAACTGTCATTGACAAGATGGTTTATGACTCAATTTCCCCAGAGGAAGGAGTACGGAACTACCATGGTGGGCCTGGAGGTGAAGCCCTGGGTGGGTCATGAGACACAGGGAAGAAGGAGGAACTGGGGGTGAGGGGCTTTATCTTGGTTGCTGGGGGGAAGGAAGAGGTGAGGCAGGATAAGCAGGTTTGGGATTGGCAAAGTAGCCAATTTCAGCAGGTTCTGGGGCTTAGGGACTGCACAGTTGTCAGGTACTTGGCCTGGAGTGATTAGGGCAGGATGATAGTGGCCAGATGTGGAGGGCCTGATAAAGAAGGCAGTTGGGGTACAGGCTCTGGCACGCTTGAAGGGGAAGTTCATTCCTATCATTAGGGATTGGCGAACTCTGGGAGGGGCAGTCCCTCCAGAATCAGCAAGGCCCCAGGTGTCAAGGCATCAGAATACAGAACATAAAAGACCTGGTTAATACAAGGGTGCAGCAAGGGACCTCAGAATGCCTCTGTGCCATTTTATAGATGGGGAAACTGAGACTCAGAGAGGGAAATGTACATGCCCAAGGTCAACCGGAAAATCACGCTCTGAATTCTATCTCTAACTCGACTCCAGAGCCGGTGCTCTGGCTGTCAGTGCACTGACAGCCCAGACTCCACTGGGTTTTATCTAATTCCTGGGCCTATGACACTGTGAGAGGCCTGGGACTGAGGGTAAGAGCAGAGTAAGAACCAAATTAGGGGCAGATTATTCCCTTACTGCTGTTTACCCCCTGGCAGGGCCATGCCACTTCCACCTTTAGAAAGTCCATACTGGGAACTTCCCTGGTGGCACAGTGGTTAAGAATACGCCTGCCAATGCAGGGGACACAGGTTTGAGCCCTGGTCCGGGAAGATCCCACATGCTGTGGAAACTAAGCCCGTGCGCCCCAACTGCTGAGCCTGAGCTCTAGAGCCCGCATGCCACAACTACTGAGCCCATACGCTGCAACTACTGAAGCCACGTGCCTTGAGCCCATGCTCTGCAACAAGAGAAGTCACCCAATGAGAAGCCCACGCACCGCAATGAAGAGTAGCGCCCGCTCACCGCAACTAGAAACCAAGACCCAACACAGCCAAAAATAAATAAAATTTAAAAAAAAAGAAAGTCCATACTGGCTGACTCCATTTCCTCAGTTACTTCATCTGAAAAATGGGCATATTGATGTCTACCTAGCAAGGCTTTTGTGAAGATTAGTTTAAAGGAACTGGAATGCCCATGTAGCACATAGTAAGTGCTCAGTATACAAACATTACATATAACACAAGTGGTAACTGCTGCTGTTACCAGCCAATCACCCACTTTTTCACCCTTGCCAGTTGGACATCTGTCCACTTCATCTCTCTTGAAGGTTATCATCGGATTTGTCTGTAATACCAAATCTGGGTTATTCTTTTCTGTTCTGGCCACATACTTTGAGAGAGAGGTTGACCTTGTGTCCATAACTAAAGGGGAACAATTGGGAGGATGAGAGGCTGGAAATCGTTTCCTGTTAGGATGCTTAAACACACTGAAGCTGTTGAGGACGGACAAGAGAAGACTTGAGGGATGGGTATGAACATGGGTCACTAAGGCTGCCTGTCACATGAAGGTGCAGGATGTCCCAGAGCAGGTAGGACCAGGACTGATGTGGCAGCTTCAGGGAGACGCATTTCAGCTCAGTGAGAAAGAACTGTCTGCTCCACGAGAAGGGGACAGATGGAATCTGAGCCCGTCTCGCTCCCTCTGGATGACCGTGCTCAGAGGCAGCAGAAGGGGCCTCTTCAAGCTGATTGTGTCACTCTCTTTTACTCCAGGACAGTTCATTGCTGCTCATTTACCCACTAAATAAAGCCCGAATCACTGGCCTGGCCTTTGAGACCCTCCCAGACATGAACCTGCCTCATCCAGGATTATGTTCCTCCCCCATTACTCTTCCTGACCCAAATGGGCCAATCGCTCTTCCTCAAGCAGGTCTTGCACTTTGCTGTCACAGAGCCTCACCTCTGCACAATCTCATCTCTGTTTATACCTTTAAGCACCCTCTTCCACCTCCCCTTGTCACTCCTTCCACTACTGCAAGTCCCAGCTCCAAGGTCACTGCCTCCATGAAGCCACCAGTCAGAAGGCCTCGCTCCCTCTTCTGTCTCCTATGGCACCTTACTTGGTATGTCTCTCAGGACATGGACCACTTTCTTCTCAGCAGTAGGGTCAGGTATGTATGTGGCTCATCCTCCACATAAGGCCAGATTTCTGAGAAGAGCAGCCTGCTCTTGTTCATCCTCTCATCCAGCGTGCAGCTCGGCACCAGCGTCCAGTGATTGTTTCTAGATGCTCCTAAGTGTGGAAACTGAATGCCTTCTTCATTCCCAGTGGCTCTTCTTTTTGCATTTATGTCTTATTTGATGCTGTTATACCTCCAATTCCAATTCGCTCCTTCAGATAGCGCTGTGAGTTAGGAAGGACAGTTAGCTTCACTCTCTCTTACATAAGAAGAAACTGAGGCTTAGAGAGTTGAAGGGACGTTCAAGCTCACGTGGCAAAAGTAACAAAATTCACCCAGAATCCAGTTCACACCTTCACCACTGACATGTTCTCATTTCCTCTCAATGTCCAGCAGGACAGCCTCCCTCACTGCCTGTTGTGGACACCGCGCAGGGCAGAGTTCTGGGAAAATATGTCAGCTTAGAAGGTTTTGCACAGCCTGTGGCCGTTTTCCTGGGAATCCCTTTTGCCAAGCCCCCTCTTGGATCCTTGAGGTTTGCTCCGCCGCAGCCTGCAGAACCATGGATCTTCGTGAAGAATACCACCTCTTACCCTCCCATGTAAGTCAAGGTGTGACTCTGGCATCTTCCAGTGGGGATGTTCGCCTCAAAGGGACGCAGGAAGGAGCCAAGGCAATCCTCTGAGTGGCTCATACTTTGTTCTGGAATCCTCAAGATATTGTAGATCCTTACAAACATTTCAGAACTCTCACAGCATTCTAGAGCCATTTATTCAACTAATATTTATTGAGCAACTTTGCCAGGCATTTTCTAGTCTCCTGGAATCTATTAGTGAACAGAACAAAGATTCCACCTTCATGGAGCTTGCATTCTAGCAGGGGCAGATAGATAGTAAACAATATGCAAATTAGTAAATAGACTATACAGTATGTTAGAATATGATAAGTGCTGTGGAAAAAAATAGAAAGTTGAGCAGGTAAGGGGTTTCAAAAGTAATGATTCTGTTAACCTAAAACAATAAAACAACCAGATATTTTACCAGCAAAACCAGAGATTTATTTGGGAGCAGCAAAGAATCACAATTGGGGATATGCAACTATGGCAAACCACATGCAAGTCTGGTAAAAGGAAAGGAAACTCTTTTATAGAGGCAAAGGGGAAATTAGGAGGCACTGTTATAAACAAAAAGTCCATTGGAGGAAACTGGGAGTTTGTTATGTAGTGGCTTTTAATTGGCTGAGTAATGATAGTCTCTGATTGGCTGAGCTGTTGCCAGGCAAGGAGGAAATCTTTCTTGTAGTAAAGTCGTGTCACTTCTGGTCAGAGGTGCACAGTATGTCTCTTCCTAGGGGGATCTGTATTGAGGTGGAGTGATATCTTCCTGAGATCTCCCCCTCCTCACCTGCAGATTCCATTTTAGTGAGGGTTCTCTTTATTAATTTTCACAGTTCTATTCATTTTCCTTCCTGAACTTTACCATAGTGGAAAGTGAGGTGGGCCAGGAGATGTGTGGATGGGTAGTGTTTTGGGGTGTTGACTGGGCAAGTTCTCAACTCCCAAATGTGTCTAGCTACCTAGTCACAAGCAGAACAATGGTTGATGTGTTCTAGTTAGCTGGCCAGGTTGGGCAAGAAGACTCACAACTGTCCCCCAAGGCACCTTAGATGTCTACAAGCTTTGATTCAGAACTTACTTATCTCAGCAAGAGATTTCTAATAATTTCCAGGGTCCTGCCTCTTGCTGAATTTTCTTTTCTTCTCTCCTTACTCCCTTCCTTCCTTACTTCTTCCATTCTTTTAAAATAATATTCATTCTTTTTATTTCCTGATTGCAATTAATATGTTTTATTTATTTTTATTGCAAGTATACCTTTTATTTCCTGATTGCAAGTAATACATACTTATTACATAAAAGTGAGAAAATATAGGTAAGTAAAGGTAAGAAAATGAAAATCATACACCACCTAGCAAGAACTGTTGTTCATATTTTAGATTCTATTTTTCCAGTCTTTTATCTGTTGTATAATTTCTCCCTTAAAATGTAATCACATAATTTTCTGTACCCAATTCTAATGTGTGTGTTTTTTCCCCCACACCAAAAAGCAATTCTCACACACCACATGTGTGTCCAACAATTTAGCTAATTCTGACGCTCTCTTCCTAGAGATAGCATCAGATTCCACAGATTAAGGGCTCAGCTCCACAATAACTCCCTCTGCTTCAGATGCCAGTTCCAAGTCCAAGTTGTCACCTATGCTTCTGACCAACTGGCTATAAATTAGAGGTTCCTGTGACCCCCTCCTTAGGTTCTATTAATTTGCCGTAGCAGCTCACAGAACTCAGGAAATTAGTTTTCTCACTAGATTACCAGTTTATTATGAAGGATATTAAAGGATACAAGCCAGTAGCCAGATGAAGATATCCATAAGGTTAGGTCCCTGACAAAGGAGCACCCATCCATCCTTCTGGAGTTTGGGACCCAGCACGGTGGCACTTAGTTCTGGTTCACCAACCAGGCGCCCTCTGAACGCTGTCCTTTTGGGTTTTATGGAGCCCTCATTACATTGGCAGGATGATTGAAAGCATTGGTCACTGGTGATTGATTCCTCTCCAGCCCATCTCCCCTTTCCAGAGGTCAGGGGGCTGTGGCACAAAGTTCCAACCCTCTAATCACATGATTGTTCCTCTGGCAACCAGTTCCTGCTCTTAGATGAGGTCCAAAAGTGACCTCATTAACCCAACAGTATCCACCACTCAGGAGATTTCAAGGATTTTAAGAGCTCTTCAGGGCTTCCCTGGTGGCACAGTGGTTGAGAATCCGCCTGCCAATGCAGGGGACGCGGGTTCGTGCCCCAGTCCGGGAAGATCCCACATGCCGCAGAGCGGCTAGGCCCGTGAGCCATGGCTGCTGAGCCTGCGTGTCCGGAGCCTGTGCCCCGCAACGGGAGAGGCCACAACAGTGAGAGGCCCGTGTATCGCGGAAACTGGACAAAGATCAAATACATATTTCTTCTTATATCACAATATCATATTACACGATACAGATACTTTATTTTTATTTATTTATTTATTTTTATTTATCTATTTTTGGCTGCGCTGGGTCTTCGTTGCTGCATGCGGGCTTTCCCTAGTTGCAGCCAGCGGGGGCTACTCTTCGTTGTGGAGCGCGGGCTTCTCATTGTGGTGGCTTCTCCTGTTGTGGAGCACAGGCTCTAGGCACGTGGGCTTCAGTAGTTGTGGCGCATGGGCTCAGTAGTTGTGGCTCACAGCCTCTAGAGCGCCGGCTCAGCAGTTGTGGCACACAGGCTTAGGTGCTCCATGGCATGTGGGATCTTCCCGGGCCAGGACTGGAACCCATGTCCCCTGCATTGGCAGGCGGATTCTTCACCACTGCGCCACCAGGGAAACCCCAAGACAGATACTTTAGATGCCTGTTTTGCTCATGAAAGTATATCATGAACATCATTCTATGTCATTAAATATCACACCCCGACATTTAATAGCTGCATTACATTGCATATTGAATCATAATTTATTTACCGCACCTCTTATTTGGGATTATTAATTGTTCTTGATGATTTTGATAATATAAGTAGCACTATGATGAATATCCTGTAGCTAAATCTTCATGCATGTTCATAAATATTTTTGGATAAGTTCTAAGAAATAACATTTCCGAGTAAGAGTATTTTTAAAATTTCCCTTCAGAAATATTCCAACTGCACCTCTTTAATTAATATATGAAAACCTCCATTAACTGAATTTTAAACAATGTTTTGGGTTATTAAAAATGATTTTGGGCTATTGAATAGGCAAAATAATGATAATTTTTATTATCTTCATCATTATATATATGATTATTCTCTTTATTCTACATTTATCTGAATACTAGTGACATTGACTTATTTTTCTCGTTTTAAACTTTTGATTGTCTTCTTTTATGAGTATTATGCCCCTTGCCTTGGTGATCTGGGGAAAGTTCCCCCGGGATGGAAATCAAGAGTTTATCTTTGGAGCTCTGACTCTGCCAATTGACAGCTGTGTCATCCAAGCACCTCAGTGCTTCAGTTACCTCACTGACATACTGGAGGCAGTCATGCTGTTTTGTGAGGACACTGAGATCTGGAAATGTGACTTATAATGTCCTTGGAAACATAAACACTACATAGTATGGTTCTTTCTGGCTGTGTGACCTTGGGCAAATTCTCTAACCTCTCTGTGCCTCAGTTTCTCAACTGTAAAATGTGGATAATAACAGAACCTAAATCATGGGGCTGATGTGAAGATTAAATGAGTTAATATATAAGGAGTATTTAAAACAACATTTGGTGAGAGAGCACCAGAATCACAACTAACTGCTGAACAGTCATTAACAGGAAGACACTGGAACTCACCAAAAAAGATACCCCACATCCAAAGACAAAGGAGAAGCCACAGTGAGACTGTAGGAGGGGTGCAATCACAGTAAAATCAAATCCCATAACCGTTGGGTGGGTGACTCACAAACTGGAGAACACTTATACCACAGAAGTCCACTCACTGGAGGGAAGGTTCTGAGCCCCATGTCGGGCTTCCCAACTTGGGGGCCTGGCAATAGGAGGAGGAATTCCCAGAGAATCAGACTTTTAAGGCTAGCGGGATTTGATTTCAGGACTTTGACAGGACTGGGGGAAACAGAGACTCCACTCTTGGAGGGCACACACACAGTAGTGTGCGTATGAGAGCCCAGGGGGAAGGAACAGTGACCCCATAGGAAACTGAACCAGACCTACCTTCTAGTGTTGGAGGGTCTCCTGCAGAGGTGGGGGTGGCTGTGGCTCACTGCAGAGACAAGGACACTGGCAGCAGAAGTTCTGGGAGGTACTCTTTGGTGTGAGCCCTCCCAGAGTCCACCATTAGCCCCACCAAATAGCCTGCAGGGTCCAGTGCTGGGTCGCCTCAGGCCAAACAACCAACAGGGAGGGAACTCAGCCCCACCCATCAGCAGACAAGCAGATTAAAGTTTTACTGAGCTCTGCCCACCAGAGCAACACCCAGCTCTACCTACCACCAGTCCCTCCCATCAGGAAGCTTGTACAAGCCTCTTAGATAGCCTCATCCAATAGAGGGCAGATAGCAGAAGCAAGAAGAACTACAGTCCTGCAGCCTATGGATCGAAAACCACATTCACAGAAAGAGAGACAAAATAAAAAGGCAGAGGAATATGTTCCAGGTGAAGGAACAAGATAAAACACCAGAAAAACAACTAAATGAAGTGCAGATAGGCAATCTTCCAGAAAAAGAATTCAGAATAATGATAGTGAAGATGATCCAGGACCTAAGAAAAAGAATGGAGGCAAAGATTGAGAAGATGCAAGAAATGTTTAACAAAGACCTAGAAGAATTAAAGAAAAAACAGAGATGAACAATACAATGACTGAAATGAAAAATACACTGGAAAGAATCAATAGCAGAATAACTGAGGCAGAAGAACAGATAAGTGACCTGGAAGACAGAATGGTGGAATTCACTGCCACGGAACAGAATAAAGAAAATAGAATGAAAAGAAATGACAACAGCCTAAGAGAACTCTGGGACAACATTAAACACACCAACATTCTC